GAAGAATTTTAATACATTTTTCTGCCTTGTAGCTTACATTAATTATCCTTACACAAGAACCAGAAGAAATGTATTAAAACCTGGTTCTTGTGTAAGGATAATTAATGTAAACTACAAGAAGAAATGTATTAAAACCTTGTAGTTTACATTAATTATCCTTACACAAGAACCAAAAGACAGAAAAATGTATTAAAACCTTGTAGTTTACATTAATTATCCTTACACAAGAAGACAGAAGAAATGTATTAAAACCTTGTAGTTTACATTAATTATCCTTACACAAGAACCAGAAGAAATGTATTAAAACCTTATAGTTTACATTAATTATCCTTACACAAGAACCAAAAGACAGAAAAATGTATTAAAACCTTGTAGCTTACATCAATTATCCTTACACAAGAACCAGAAGAAATGTATTAATACCTTGTAGTTTACATTAATTATCCTTATGCAAGAACCAGAAGACAGAAGAAATGTATTAAAACCTTGTAGTTTACATTAATTATCCTTACACCAGAAGACAGAAGAAATGTATTTAAAACCTTGTAGTTTACATTAATTATCCTTACACCAGAAGACAGAAGAAATGTATTTAAAACCTTGTAGTTTACATTAATTATCCTTACACAAGAAAATAATTTAATATTTTTGTATGTAATTAAAAAAACATGATGATGATATAAATCACTCGTAAAATGAGTTCTGTTTAATCGTAAAGCTGAATGTGAATACCTGACGTGTACGCAGGAATCAAAACCCAATGTTTATCAATATAAGCCCGCAAATTTCTTGCTGTTGTACTGAGAGGTTAGATTTACAGTAAAAAAAATAAACAATCTTTTATTCAAGATAGAAAACCCAAATACTGAGCACTTGTTAATCTGTGTAGCGTAAAATCAACGACAACAGACACTCCATGTGAGAGGAAATACTTTTATAGAACAGTAACCAGCTGATTCAGGGTAGAAATATTCAAGGTATGTTGTGTACAACTTCTCTACAAAAGATATTGAATTAACGTAAGTAAGAATAAACAGAAACGTTTAACATAACACGGAAATCTGCCTGTGAAATAACAATCGGATTTAAAGGAGTTGTCTAAAATATCACTTCATTTAAAAATAGTATAGGGAGATCTTCACACTAATCTCTCTGCCAAATAAAATATTACTAAACGTTTAACATAACACGGAAATCTGCCTGAAAACAATTAATTTTATTTTATAATTACCCACTTGCTTATGCGAGAGGTTTGAAATAACTATCGGATTTAAAGGAGTTGTCTAAAATATCACTTCATTTAAAAATAGTATAGGGAGATCTTCACACTAATCTCTCTGCCAAATAAAATATTACACATAAAAGGTTACTGCTTTTAACTTAAATCACAACATTTTCTTTCAATTGTAGAGGATGTCATCCTAGTAAAATTAATTCCAAGTAAACCATTTTTATTTACTCAAAGAAAAAAACGTCCGTAAAAAAACAAAACAAATCAAACAGATTCATGATAATTGTTCATAATAGCATATACACAAAACTCGAAATATAAGATACACTATATTTCTAACATAGAATGAATTATTACATACAAAAGTTAAAAAAAATGTTAAGGACGTTTTTCTTTCAATAAAAAAAACAAACAAATAAACTAGTTAGTAAAAAAATAATACAAAAGAAATAAAACCTTAACAAATTTATGAGAAACACGATTGAAGATATTAACTTAAATCAATTCATACTCGACACTCTTCACGACATTTGGTTAAGTGTTTAGTTCCTTAGTTGCTGCTATGACCACTGGTGTTTATAAGCTGGACACAATCACTGTAACTAATATATGGAGATTGCTTCTTTAAAAAGAACCCAAATAATCATAACATGGATATTTACACATCTTCAAACGGATGTTTTGTTAGCCAGATCTTGCAAAGCAGGTTTTGCCCATTTCTTTTCTCAATAAATTAGAAGCATTTTTTCGTAACGGTAACACACATTTAAAAGATTGATGTACAATTCTAATACTGAGATTAAACAGTTAAATGATTAATGAATGGATAGAATTCTTGACAGTACTGAATTCAATCGAATTACTAAGTCAGATAAAAATAATACAATCAAAATCAGAGAGAGACAGGAAGTTTTAATTTTATTTTTACAACAGTTCGGGTTCTACATAACCTTATTGGAGGGACAGCATCTGCAGAAATCTTCCCTACAGAACGTTTCATCACAGACTCCTAGGGAATGAACAAATGGAAAACTTGAGTTGGTCACTGCCTATGGCTACTAGTAGTTGTGGAGATAGGAGCACGAGTGGAATGAATCCTTTAAGGTTCCCATAGGGCCAACAGAACAACCAGTGAAGAAAATACTAAGTCTCGATCACCTCGACATAATTTGCTGGGTATAACCCTACTCGTCCATCCTTACGTCCTTTACACCAACCCTGCTCGTCTTCGTCTTCTAACTTGACAAATGTTTCGCCTAAAACAATAAGTATTACATGTACTAGATGATTAAGGTTTATCTTCAGTAAGCGTCAATATTTAAGTCTGATTTATGTGCGTCTACCTCTTTTCCTTTTGTTTAGTTTGTCACTGAATATTATACATTGTATAACACCACAAGATAATCACGATTTTATTTTGTAGTATAAAAATTGCCTTACACAGGAGCGTTAATCGTCAGCTTGATTCTGAGACTGCAGTATGGACACTAAGAAATTACAATTTCTCAATAACTTCTTAACACAAGTGACACTTCACAGCCTTACCATTGTGAAAGTAAAATTAACACAGGATATAAAATGACACTAATGTGTGATTAGAGCTTCCGACATTCTTTATTTTTTTATGAAAGCTTATAAATTACTTAAAATTAAAGTCAAGTCTGCACTTGTAGATGGGTAAAAAAAAAAGTAATCAAAAACCGCCTCACTTCTGGTTCCGTGACAGGCACTAAAAGGACCTGGTGTAAAAGCAAATCTTTTGTACTTATTTAGACAATATGAACCAAAAACCATCCTGCATAGAAAGATTTCTAAGAGATGTAGCAAGTCTGATCTTGTAACTAACAATTGGGTGGAAAATGTAGGGTACTCCTTGTACGTCCATACTCTCTGTTTAGCTTCTGGGTACTCCTTGTACGTCCATACTCTCTGTTTAGCTTCTGGGTACTCCTTGTACTCCTTGTACGTCCATACTCTCTGTTTAGCTTCTGGGTACTCCTTGTACGTCCATACTCTCTGTTTAGCTTCTTTACCCAGAAGCTAAACAAAGAGTATGAACGTACAAGGAGTACCCAGAAGCTAAACAAAGAGTACGGACGTACAAGGTACTACGCTGCCATATAATTTCATGTGCTTTATATGAATAACATGGTAGCAACTCCATCACTGTAAAAAGACAATGATATAACCTTCTGGTGATGCTTGGATAATGTGGAAGTTAATGACCATCACTGTAAAAAGACAATGATATAACCTTCTGGTGATGCTTGGATAATGTGGAATTAATGACCATCACTGTAAAAAAGACAATGATATAACCTTCTGGTGATGCTTGGATAATGTTGAAGTTAATGAAAATGTGAGGGGATTCCAAAATTCTTGCTCAAAATAGATATTTAACAAGAACCGTAGTAGCCAAAAATAAGGGCATGGTTTAAGATATCTCTTACGAGGAGGATATAGCATATATCAACTCTTGATATAGCATAAATAATTTGTAGTGAGACATCTGATGTTATAAAGAATACAGAGATTTTGGTAAAAATTTCTATTCAAACACAAGTATAAAAACCCAAACAAAAATGACGTACATATCTGACTATCAACAAAACAGACACAACTCTTGAAGAAAAGCTTGGGGTCAAATAATTCCATACGACCAAATCACTCTGGCCCAAGAATTCCCAAACACAAGACCAAGATGCTAAGGATACAGATAGACAATGCCTCTGAAAGGCATTCATAAAACAAGAGCAATCTATCTTGGACTAAGTTACAAAGTCATTCATTTAAAATCTCAGTGGTATGGAAAAACTAAAACTAAAACGAAGATGAGAAAACAAGGCATCAAGTATAGAAATGGTGTCTGAATGTAGCACCTCAATCCTGAAGAAAAACAGGATCTTGACAAGATACATAAAACATTTTGAAATTTCTGCCAGTTAAATAAAATTAAAGCAAGAAGGAGCCTGCCAGCTGAAGGATAAGAAAAACAACAACACGGGATCCTCAACAACATAGAAATGACTTCTAAAGGAGAATAAAAGGCAAGAGCGATTGAACAAAGGCAGAAAGCAACCAGACACCAGTGGACTTTGCCCTTGATACGATAAAATTATAAAAGTTCATGGGTCAAGTTCCCAGCTTAACTCTATGATAGCATCTATCTAAGATTGGAAAATCGTGATATGTATCCATCACAATGCGATATTCTAAGTCTAAACCAACAGATCTCTCCTCGGGTAAAGAAATGGACTAACTTTGAAAACTATTATCAAATAACATCAGTCATCTTTCCATAGAACAACTATTAAAATAAAAAATCTGATGGTGAACTTGCAAGAATCACGAAAAAGACTACCTTTAGTAGGTTGTGTTATAACCTCCAAAGTAGAATGAATGAAACTCAGAATTCATAATTAAACAGAAAATTAACAACAACAAAATTAAGTTAAAATTGAAACTGTTTTGTAACTAAATGAGAAATGCTTACAAAGCAAAAAAAAAATAGATAAAGTTAGGAAAGAATCCTGTGTTAAATGCACAAGGTGCACAGAGAGAATGTGACCATTTACAGGTTGTATAAGTAGAAGTTGTACTACACGACAGATAATGACTGGCCCTAAAGGATCTGGAACACATTATTACTCCTGTAATACACCATATAGAGAAACTGGTAAAAAATTACAGATGGTAAAAAATGGGGAGTAAAAATAGTTAGATAGAAGCAAAGAGAGATAAATAACTGTGGACTTTTTGGCATAAACAAAATTTTATAAAGCAGAGATGTGGCATCATATTTGAAATACTATGCAAGAGTAAATCAGAGTAATTGTGCATACTTTTTAACAATGATATATCAAGCTTTAGATAATTACTTCTACCAGAGAAAAGAATTAGCTGTCATTGGGCAAAAATCTCACCTTCCTGGAAAGTTAGCTCATCTTCTTCGGTACCTTCATAATCATACAGCGCTTTCACAGGCACTCCTGGTTCGCCAGTGTCAACTAATGTATCATTACCATAATCATCCCATTCATCATTCTCTTCGTCAAATAGATTTTGTTCTTGACCATTCCTGAAACACACAATCTATAAATATATTTATCTGGACCAAGTAACAATATTTTGTCAAAATATTCACTCAATAACTGCTAATAAAAAACAGAACACATTCTATTCGTTCATTTATAGCTTCTGTACAATTAGCATCTGAAGAAGGCTCATGGCCGAAAATTTGTGTAATATTTAAAAAACAACAACAGAAGAATAAATGTTTGTTTGTTTTGAATTTCTCGCAAAGCTACACGAGAGCTATCTGT